TAGCCTTGGCATTTAAAATTTTAACTTTATCTAGATTATGTACTGTAGGATGGCGGCGAAAATACTTTTCAACTTTCTTCCTACACTTTCTAGCCTTATTACATTCAATATGGAACCATGGCTTACGAATATGTGGAACCGCAGAGGACTTTGGTATAGTGTGGTCAGCAATGTCATTGAGTATATCTGAAAATAGCTGTATAGGATCTTCGCTGTTCGCAAAACATCATGTTTTAAGTGTTCAGTACAAAGTGTTTTATATAATGACCAGTCAGCTCTGCTGAAGTTTCGTCTGGATAAAGGTGGATCATCCCCAGGGATGATGTTTTTGAGAATGGTGGGGAAGTGATCATTCCCACATACGTCATCATGGATCTCCCATTCAAATTCATTACATAAGTTAGAATCGGCTAGTGATATATCCAGGGAAATATGTTCCCGTAGCTGGATGTAAATAAGTGGCTGAATCGTCATTGAAAATACATAAATTATTATCGGATATGAATTCCTCGATGATTTTACCTTTAGTGTTTGTATTGACACTTCCCCAAAGTGGGTTGTGTCCGTTAAACTCGCCCATGATGAGACATGGCTTCGGAAGTTGATCATATAGATTTTGAAGATCTGATTGTTGAATATTTGAAGAGGGATGTATATACAAGCTGCACAATGTCAGCGCCATGTGCAGAGTCAGACAAACAGCAACAGCTTGCAAATCCGTATTTAGAGTGACAGGGCTATGTATGACGCTCTGATTAACCAAAATAGAAGCGCCTCCAGTAGCTATAGTGATAATCACTATACTGTCTCTGATTAAAATTATTTGTATTTTTAAGATATGTCTCTTGGAGACATAATGCTGACGGTTAAGATCGTGTATGAGTATCTGAATTTCGTTGAAGTTATTCTTCAGTCCTCTGCAATTCCAACGGCTGAGAACTATTCATCTCTTAGGCAGGTTAACTGGAGATCTCGCTCGCCCATTATGTTTAGGCGACCAACTTGTTGTTCTCTGGGGGATGCTCTCTGAAACATCCATCCCTTCAAGTGATGGGATCATCGGAACCTTTTGATACTCTACCAGTTTAATTGTTTCAAGAAGAGTCAGTTATATATCTGGATAACGCATGTTTTCCTTTCTTTGATTGTGAATTTGTTGCTGAATCATTATGTGAATCATACACAAACAGTTGATGATGATACAGGAATCTGTTTAGTTGGAGAAGGCTCAACAGTAGTTTGTGTGCAGGAGTCCGACATACAGAAGGGTTGGGGATTGATGGTATTTATCCATGTCAAATCTGTTTAACAGCCAATAGAAGATATTACCACAGATGGTCTTCTAGTTACAGAGGCATAGGAACCTTTGGATCACAGGAAGGTAAAAGTCCTAGGTTAATTGTAACTAATGTTCTGAGTAGTTTTTATTTTATTAAACGGCATTTCTCTCTTCCATATGGGACAATCTTTTGACGAGGATGAATGTTGACCAGAACAGTTGACGCATTTCTTAAAGTTGCTATCGCAGTCTTCGGTAACATGTATTTTCTCACCACAGTGAGCACAAGTAATAGTATTTTTGCATGAATTTACCCCATGACCAAACTTTTTACATTTAAAACACCTCAGTGGGTTTGGGATATATTGGTCAACTGAAAGGCTGCAATAACCTGCTTTGATAGATCTTGGTGGACACGGAGAGACGAAAGAAAACAAGTAAGTGTTTGTTTGAATTATTTCTGAGTGTTGACGCGGAGTAAAACGTTTCACATGTGTCACACCTTGATCTTTTAATTCACAAACTATGTCAAGCTCGGACATATCATCTAGGAGGTGATCACGGTCCTTTACAATGCCTTTGCTTGAATTAAGTGATCTGTGGACAGATACTGAAACGGGGAATCCAGCTAATGTATCAACAGATAATAAGTTGGTAGCTTGCTGTCTTTTGGCACATTCAATTAGAAGTGATCCGGATCTCATACGTTTGATATTCTTAACATCTGCAATACCATACACTCCTTTTGAAATCGCAAATGGATTCAATTTGATAGGTTGCTTGTCCGAGATTCTAGAATCAGAAATCTCGGCCAGTACTAAACTTGTTGAAGAGGTCGACAGCCTTCATTAGCACCATGATCATTGTCAAGTTGACGCTTTCCGTCAAGGGGGTTTCAAGAGCCATGTTGAAGTATTAAAGATTCATCACCCCAGCTCCCCATCCACCACGGAGTATCATAAAGACAATGCTATATACAAGTGGATCTCCGACTTGCAGCACCAAGGATACTGGGATGATATACTCCAGCAGAAGGATTAGACAAGTAATCAATCTACCAGATTGGCCCATGAACCATCGCCTTCTGGGCATAAGACTCTAGGCAATTTAAATAGGGCGTATTTCAAAATCGAGTGATGATTCATAATAAAAAAACGAGCCAAGTAAAAAATATTGTTCATAATATAAATTGTGCAAATACAAGTGATGCACTGGGCTCGACATAACCAGCCGATTGGTTGAACCGGGCCCATTCAACCACCCGTCTAGGTGAAGTAAGGGGCGAAGTGGTGTGTTGGGCAAAGGAACACTGTTCCTGGAACCAGTGCCCTCAACCACCAGACTCCCGTCCTCCACCGACATAGGGGCGCAACCCACGGCAAACGGGTTGGTGGACCAAATGTACCGGGTCCACAACGGGGGTTTGAAGAGCGCTTAGCGTTACCCAGAACCCACCACGAGGAGGTGGCTCTTCACGGGTGCCGTTTTGATAACAGAACGAAATGTTCTCTTTCTCTTGGATTTTGACTTATTTGTACCTCTCGGCCGTGCAACGCACATGGTGTCCCACGGTTGAATCTGTTGTTATGTGGCGTAACGCTTTGGTATAGGAGAAATGCTATTTCATTCGTTAGAAAGATGAATAAGAATGCTAATTTAGTGCTTTATGTCATACGTCATTAGCAACATGTTTTGAAATGTCTAAAATTGATAAATCGTCTGCTTCTTTTGTAAACAAACATGGCTACCCAGTTAACTCCAATCAAAGTCAATGACCTGGTCGCGGTGGACGGATACATTATTGGACGTGTAACAAGAATAATACCACCACTAAATTCAACAAAACTGGAACCCTATTCTCTTAGTATTTCAATAGTAACATTAATTTAAGATAACTACCTTCGGATGTCTGATAGGAAGAATGACAGTTTACTCAATAAAGATATGAAAGACAATTTATGGTCTATTCCCACAGATATTCTAGTCAACTATCATTATCCCGGTAAAAAAAAACGACTTTTCTTCTTCAAGATTTAAGTTCAGAAACATAAACATTACTGAGACAGACCAAGCTCCATCCACTGATCAACATTAGGTCACACACATGGGGAAGATCGGAGACACTCTCTGTTGAAATGCCCTTTCTACTAAGATCTGAAACAAGAACTAACACCATCGCCCGCCTCATCCATGTCACTTTAAATACTCCCCGACCCACCAGCACTTTCTGCTAAAAATTTCCCATATTTCATTTACAAATTGTTCATGAAAAGAAAATATGCGTTTCCTCTCAAGACTTTAGAATGACACGTTCCTATTACTTTGTATATATGAGCTTTTAAAACGTTAAAACTACGTTTGTACCCTGCCTCCTGTGGCTATCATGTACAATGAATGATGTTCTTCTATTCAACTCCGGGCGAGAATAGTTCTCCATCAACCCATGCTTGTCGTAACAGGCGACTAACGGGATCGGGTGGTCAGGCTCGCTGACTTGGTTGACACATGTCATCATACCCCAATTGCGTAGATCGATGCGCATGACGTAAATCACTGGATTGTCTGGTCCAGACTTGATTATTTACAGACCGCAGCCATACAAGCTCAAATATTGCTGAGTGCGGCGTAAAACAACAATCAATCAGTCAATCTTCTCTTCAACAAAACATGGTGCTCATCGACGCGAAACGTTTAGTGAACTTTCAGTTCGGTGCAACTGGGTATCAACTTATGTCGCAGGTATATAGTACGTTGCCGAGCGATTGGTCATGAGAAATGTTCAATATTTTAAATAAATGTTTAAGTATACCTCAGCTTATGTTATACACCTGAGTGGGAAGTAAATATGTCCCTGTGTCCGTCCGAATCTAAGATGGAAACATAGAGATAGTCTATACAAGAGCTTTGACCACCTACACAATAAAAGCTCTCAGTAAATGACTGACTGACTGAGTTTAGTTTTACGCCGCTTTTAGCAGTATTCCAGCAAATCACGGCGGGGGACACCTGAAATGGGCTTCACACATTGTACCCATGTGGGGATTCGAACCCGGCTCTTCGGCGTGACGAGCCAACGCTTTAACCACGAGGCTACCCCACCGCCCCTCAGTTATTGAAGCCTGGTTGATGAGTGAGTGAAAACAGAACGAAAAACTAATGCTATGTTTTCATTTTCGCAGACCACAAATAGATATCATCGCTATAGTATTTCACACAACCATTGAACTTTACTCTCATTCCATTTGTACTAACACTCTTTTTCGTAATGCTGTTACAATTCCTTTGTAGTAATTTGGATTGATTTTAAAAGCCAGTTTATTTTCTAATGCAATTATCAATCACACACAAACTCAGCCATCTAACCCACTCAGCCGTCGCTGCTTCCACAAAAGTGAAAGTTGGACAACTGGTAGTCGAGACCACGGACTTTGTGTACCCCTCTCACAAGTGTAAACTGGCACAGCTCCCGCGGCCGAAAACTATGACTTCACAGCGCTATTTAGAAAGTGGTTAAATGTAAATGTGTACTGGCGATTAGGTGCCTGACTCCAAAAATGTGGGTTCGAATCCCTGATGGGACTCGACCCAACAAAGAACTAGAATCTGTACTTTAATGAGAAAGTGTAATCCCAAATGTAACATGTTACATTTCACCTCTTTCTAAATGGCACTGTTTGTCCATAACTGACAATAAGTAAAATATGTATCAGAACTAGTGTAGTAGAACAAACATGATTTATTGCTCATTTTGTTTTGCTGCATATCAGAATCGTATCAGGTGTTCCTCTCCATCTCATCAATCAGCACCAGAACTTAATCCACCTGGCCTTCTCAGACCACCTGCTGAACCAGACAAAGGCTGATAATCTGAGACTGATTTCTTCATCCGTAGCTGTATTCCTGATTCCAGTTTGTGTTTTATGTAAATAGAAACATTATTTGTTAGACTATTGGAAACTGTCTTTCGAAGATTACTTACCATGTCTTATATTCCACTATAACAATCACATTATATCAAGTTTGTTCGTTTTGTTTGTTTGTTGTTTAACTCGCAATATTCCAGCCACATGGCGGCGTTTTGTAAATAATCGAGTCAGACAAACAAGTGATCAACAGCATGAGCAATTGGGATGGAATGACCAGTGTCAACCAAGTCAGCCAGTCTGACCACCCGATCCCGTTAGTCGCCTCTTACAAAAAGCATGGTTGGTGAAGACCAATTTAAACCCGGATCTTCCCGCGGGTTCATTGTATGGAGTACATTCCAATCCAAATAACACAAGGCCTTACAATATAGAATATCACATTTTAATATCTTGAAATATCTTTACTTAACATACACATTTTTTTATAAGGTCAATTCAGTTTCGACATACATTGGGCATATTAGTGATATTAAGAGTGATTAAAAGAGATTGGCATAGTGGTCACATTCTATGAAATATCCATAGAATCATTTGTTGCCGAATGTGCAAAATTTTTAGTGAGGGTGAAAAGTAAACTATGCAGGAAATATGTCACTAGGACTATAGTGAATGTCGTAAAGTATTTCTTTGTACCTGAAGTCATTATGACAAGACAATACAAAACACGAGCTGAATGCTGTCATCATTGTCTTTCATTGCTGCACTTACCGCTTAAATAATAGATTGAAATTGTATTTTTGTATACTGCAATCAAATTCGTACTTTTACTCTATTTTGAACTGTTGCAATCTCTTTGTTATGAGTGTTCGTGCTTCGGAAGCTTAGTTATGATTATATAATTGGTATTTTACTCCAAATTTACACCAAATTGTATTACATCCCGATTTTCGGTTAACTTATTGGTTTGAATTTCGACACGTAACACAATCAACATTTATCGTCAACATACCATTCGATAAGTCCAGCTTTCTTGCAGTGATACATTCTGCAGTCAACAGAGTGACTGAAAAGGAAGAAAATCAAGTCGTAAAGTAAGTCTGAAATTCATGTTTGATTACCTATCTAAGCACATATGTAACACTTCAGTCAGAAGAATGACACAACACAGACAGTAGTACCTGTCCGAGTGTTTATCTTCCAAAATGTAGCAAAAATCAGCCGGAAGTTTGATCATTGGTAGAAATGCTTGGGCTTTTACATTCAGATAATTGAATAGCATAAAATAACACCTATATATGGACTTTCGCTTCTGCAAAATATTAAAGTCTTTATTGTCTTTCATATTGTTGGGAAATTTAGTTATCGTAAGTAGCAAATACACGCTGAACCTGAAATTGAATACGACTGTTTTACATTTCTGGCCAAGCCGAAACATGTGAGGCGTGTACCACAAGATGTTGCATGGTTTTGCCTGGGGCTCGGCATTCAGATGTAGCCAAGACTGGGGGCTTTGGAGTCGGGTAATGTGTCCAAGTATAGGACATCCTGTTTGCGCTGCAGTATCTCACTTTATTACCCACGTGGTCAAAGTATGGGTAGTTGCATACTAATCTCGTACGTCACACGAGTGTCGTATCGCGTTGACCTGTGTCGTAACGACTTGACCTGAGATTCTAACGATTTGATTGGATAACCGATGACCTCTCAGTTAGGTCACATTCTGACGTAACTATTTTTTCATTCATAACAAACACGTGAATTCATTCATTCTACAACTTAAATACATTGCTGAAATGTAATATTGCGAACGTTGCCGTGTCGCTGTTTAATTGTGAGTCGAACTGAGACATTATATCAGTCGAAAAACATAAACGCTATGTTTCCACCAGTGATGTTAGCCGAATGAAGCAACTGGAAACCAAGAAACGAGGTGCTACGGAGTAGTTTACTGTAGGAGGTTGTACGAGGCGATGACAACTGGCATGCATCGTGACGTTGGTTACCATGGCAGTGACGTCATTACAGTATGACGTCATGCAAATATTGTACTACAGTACAAAACTCTTCCGCAACCTCTTTATGAAACCGGTTTCGGTTTGAAACCAAAAACATAACCAAAAATACGCTATTTTGTCAATTTAATGCATGTAAGACGTGGGTAATAAATAAAATACCACACTCGGTCTCATTACATACGAATTATACGAAACTCGTGACCTTCCTATGTTATCTGACCTCGCTTTCGCTCGGTCAGATACCATAGGAAGGACACTCGTTTCTAATAATTCGTATGTAATGAGACCTCGTGTAGTATTCTCTGTTTATTACCTACGAGGGTGACCATACTATGCCCTAGGGCAAAATATCACTTTGTCATGTTGACGTGACGTCATGAACAAGGCTATGACGTCACGTTTCTTCTGTGACGTTGCGTTCTACATGCGGCGACGGCGGGTAGCCAGCCTATGTTTGAAAGCAGATTTGGGTTTATTTGTCTCAGTTTGACGACTTCGGTAATAAACAGAATATTTTATTCCTGCCCATATCATACTATGGTTACGACACTCGTGCCTAAACATCGGTACATAGAATATACCTAGCTCTCGCTCGGGAAATACCAACATTTACGCACTCATGCCGTAACTATAGTATGACATGGCCACTCATATAATGTCCTCTATATATTAGCACCGGACAGAGAATGCCTATCTTTGTGCTATTGCAGCCCTATTATGATCAATGGTGGTCTCAGCGAACTGTACTTTTGACTTTGAATGTTACATTAAGTGACCCAATCCTACTGCACCCTGTTACTTTTTTCTGTCACTATATATTCAAGTCTGTTTCCAAAGGCAATCAGACCAAAACAAGTGTATGTACATTGTACTGCTACCACTGGTCTCGGCATTAAACTGAGCTAGCGTGAACACAAGGGTAAATATACATACCAAGAACCATCAGGAGAAACAGCTTCATGTTCGTCAGTGAGATGTCTCAACACAATCTACAGCGAGGATGGAAGTGATGTTCCTGGTCTCAACCTTGACTTTAAATATGTTTTCCACCCTCAAAAATATTGCAGATTGGTGACAGCTGCCATTCAGATAAATAATGATTAATTTCAACTGTTTATTATACTGTTACAATAATGACATTAGTTTCATCATACAATATTCATATTGGTGGTACCGTGGGATAGCCCAATAGGAAAAGCATAGCTTCGTCATTGCTCAGACCGCCTCCGTGGTGTAGTGGTTAGAGCGTCCGCCCGGAGAGCGGAAGGTCGCGGGTTCGATCCCCGACCACGTCATACCGAAAGACGTTAAAATATGGTACTTGTTGGTCCCTGCCTGGCGCTCGGCATTAATGGGTACTACAAGGACTGGTCGGCTCGGAGTCAGTATAATGTGTCTGAGTGGGGTATTCATGCTTCACTGCGGCATGGTATCTCAGTGGGCTAGCACCATAAAACCAGCTTAAGTCTGGGCTAGTACAAGAAGCCGCACATACACGCGCATGACGTCGTCATATGAGCGAAATATTCTCAAGCACGACGTTAAATCCAATTTCCCCTCACCTCACGTCATAGCTCATGTGGGTCCTGTTTCAAGCACATGTCTGGTCCGTTGTGATAAGTCTTAGATAATGCTAAATCTAATATTCAATATGGCTCATATGGGGATTTTTCCGTTTGTGAAGATCTGTGATAATTATTGCAAACTGAACAAAATCATAAATTCGAAATTGGACAATTCTCCTAAAATACATGTACAATGTATGTGACATTTTTGCAATGCGAATGTCGTCTTAAAAACCTAATTCAATGGATTTTGTCACGTTAATCTTGGAACTGATTACATTTTGATAGAACGAGAATGCTGAATCCTGATGAAAGACAAAAGTGTTCAAAGGTGTTTTTGGGGAGACAGAATAAAACACGTAAGTATGCATACGCGCACACACAAAATCTTGCTTGCATAAAACAAACAGAAATGTTTTTCTTCATAGATCAAAGGGGCTTCATCCCTGGAATGTACACACTGCATGCTTCTTTGGTTGATATGAAACAAATAAGTTCCAAAATAACATTACCATCATAGGACTAGGTCTTGATATATTGAAAGTTCATAAACCAATGATTTCCTAATTTACCATATACATGACCTTATAAATAAATGATGAAATCGTTCTTTTGTCATATTCATTTCCGTTATTTGAGAGACATTTTAGGGAGGATTAGCATGTTAATAACTAAGCAGATGTTTTCGTGCTGATATGTGAGAAGAACTGATGGAAAGTTTATTGGCTTGTCTTTTATTTCGAAGCTTCAGTTACCAAATTGTATGAGCAGCAATTTCATAAAATGCATTCATAATCAGTTTATGCTTCTTTTACATAATTACTAGAGTAAAGAGGTGAGTGCTGACTAAAAGTATATAATTGAATATCTGGTCTTAAGCACGCATATAATTAATTGATATGTGGCATGTTTATTCAATCAGGATTAGTGTTTCAATTATACAATGTTTCTGTTGACAGTATAGCTAGGTTATATTTAGACTATGGCAGTGTTTAGAATGAGAGTTGTTAAACGAACCCTATGGTACTACAACCGCACGGGCCCGTCTGCATGTAGCTGGAATATTGCTGAGTGCCACGTTTAACAACAAACTGTATAGTCTAACCAGGAATATTTTGGATGGAGAGATTCCGATCAACTACCGTATATTAAGGGGCGTGCTGCTCACGTTACAAGGAGACCAGCATATATGTAATGGTCGCGTATCACCCTGGATTCTCTGCCTAGTTCTGTGTCGGAAGTCTTACCACTGCTATTGATTTTGTATTACTACTCTTTTTTGTACTATCAGTGTTATTGATATATTGAATTGTACTAATCCGTGATACCATTGTAATTTATAGCACATGTCTCTGGCGTTTGGGGTCACACGAAATTCGTTTCCAGACTGAGAATACTGGGAATGTGACTGGGAAATTTAGGAATCAACGTGTGACAATATCTTCATGATACTAACTAAGGGCTGTCATCTAGATCATTTCGCGATGACCCGGACTCGATAACCAACGATGAGAGCTCTTGGCATTAACTCACTCAACTTGTCCACCTGTCTGGGGTATAATTCCGTGAGTAGAGACTACATTTTTGTATCTTCAACACAATTAATTTGCATTAAATAAAGTGATAAATACAAGTGATAAAACCTTTTCTACATTTGTTCATCGATGCGAAACGTTTAGTGAACTTTCAGTTTGGCGCAAGTGGGCATCGACAGGTATACAATAATGTGCCGAACGATTGGTCTTGATATTTTAGACCGCCTCCGTGGTGTAGTGGTTAGAGCGTCCGCCAGGAGAGCGGAAGGTCGCGGGTTCGATCCCCAACCGTGTCATACCAAAAGACGTTAAAATATGGTACTTGTTGGTCCCTGCCTGGCGCTCGGCATTAATGGGTACAACAAGGACTGGTCAGCTCGGAGTCAGTATAATGTGTCAGTGGGCTAGCACTATAAAACCGGCTTCAGTCTGGGCTAGTACAAGCAGCCGCACATACACATACACACGCATGACGTCGTCATATGAGCGAAATATTCTCAAGCACGACGTTAAACCCAATTTCACCTCACTTTGATATTTTGAATAAATACTTAATTTATAGTAGACATGATTAGGATGTAGTTATGTCCCCCCTTACCTTCCGAATGAAAGATGGAAGTTAGAGATACACGTGTATATAAACATACTGCCAGTAGATACGATATCGACACCCCATACGGCATTGAGGTTTGACCGCCTTCACAGTAAAAACTCTTAGTAAATGAAGCCTGGTTTGTGAGTGAGTGAAAACAAAACTAAAACTAATCCTAAAACTTTACTCTCATTCAGTTTTTACTACCACTCATTTTTTGTAATTGTTAATCGCCGTCACTCAGAGTCAGCCATCTAACCCACTCAGCCGTCGCTGCTTCCACAAAAGTGAAAGTCGGACAACTGGTCCGGCACGGACTTTGCGTACCCCTCTCACAAGTGTAATTGGCACAGCACCTACGGCCGAAAGTTATGACTACACAGTGCTAATTAGAAAGTGGTCAAATGTAAATGTGTACTGGCGATTAGGTGCCTGACTCCAAAAATGTGGGTTCGAATCCCTGATGGGACTCGACCCAACAAAGAACTAGAATCTGTACTTTAATGAGAAAGTGTAATCCCAAATGTAACGTGTTACATTTGACCTCTTTCTAAATGGCACTGTTTGTCCATAACTGACAATAAGTAAAACATGTATCAGAACTAGTGTAGTAGAGAACAAAAATGATTTATTGCTCATTTTGTTTTGCTGCATATCAGAATCGTATCAGGTGTTTCTCGCATCAATCAGCACCAGAACTTGATCCACCTGGCCTTCTCAGACCGCCTGCTGAACCAGACCGACGCTGATAATCTGATGCTAATTTCTTCATCCGTAGCTGTATTCCTGATTCCAGTTTGTGTTTTATGTAAATAGAAGCAATATTTGTTAGACTATTGGAAAAAGTCTTTCGCAATAATACCTACCATTTCTCATATTCCACTCTTATATGAAGTTTGTTGTTTGACTCGCAATATTCCAGCCACATGGCGGCGGCCTGTAAATAATCGAGCCTGGACCAGACAATCCAGTGATCAACAGCATGAGCAATTGGGATGGAATGACCAGTGTCAACCAAGTCAACCGCCCAATCCCGTTAATCGCCTCTTACGACAAGCATGGGTTAGTGAAGACCAGTTCTAACACTGGATATCCACGGGTTCATTGTATTGAGTACATTCCAATCCAATTGGACTTTACAATGTAAAGTATCGCATGTTAATTATGATACATAATATTTAACATACATGTGAAATATCATTCCTTGACTATTCACAATTTAAGTATGATCAATTCAGTTACGACATACATTGGGCATATTAGTGATATTAAGAGTGATTAATAGAGGTTGGCATAGCGGTCATATTCTATTAGATATCCATAGAATCATTTGTTGCCGAATGTGCAAAAGTTCGAGTGAGTGTGAAAAGTAAACTCTGCAGGAGATATGCCAGTAGGACTATAGTGAAGGTCGAAAAAGTATTTCTTTGTACCTGAAGTCATTATGACAAGACAATACAAAACATGAGCTTGACCATTGTATACAGTAGCGAGCTGAATGCTGTCATCATTGTCTTTCATTGCTGCACCTACCGCTTAAATAATAGATGGAAATTGTATTTTGTTAGTGCATTGTTAGATTTACTTGTACTCTATTTTGAATCCCTTTGTAGTGGGTTTTCGTGCTTTGTATACTTAGTTATGATTATATAATTGTTATATGTGCATTGTTGATTTTACACCAAATTGAGTGTGTGAGTATTGTTTTACTCCACTTTCAGCAATATTCTAGCAATATCACGGCGGGGGACACCAGAAATAGGCTTCACACATTGTACCCATGTAGGGAATCGAACCCGGGTCTTCAGCGTGACGAGTGGACGCTTTAACCTTTATACTACCCCACCGCCCCCAAATTGTATCACATCCCGAATTTTAGTAAGCTTACTGGTTTGCATTTCGACACGTAACACAATCAACATTTATCTTTAACTTACCGTCGCGATTGGTGAATTCCCGCCATTGAGCAGTGATACATTCTGCAGTCAACAGAGTGACTGAAAAGGAACAAAATCAAGTCGTAAAGTAAGTCTGAAATTCAAGTTTGATTACCTGTCTAAGCACATATGTAACACCTGAGTCAGAACAATGACAAACAAAACATACAGTAGTACCTGTCCAAGTGTTTATCGTCCAAAATGTAGCTAAATCCAGCAGGAATTCCAAATTTTGATCATTGGTAGAGGTGATTGGGCTTCTACATTCAGATGATGGAATAGCATAAAATACCACCTATATATGGACTTTCGGTTCGACACGTTTCTTTAAATGAATAAATATTGTGCAACAAAAGTCTTCATTGTCTTCTCATATGGTTGCTGTGGTTTGTAGTCATGCTAACGAATGCAAGTTGAAGCCGAATAGTATACCACTTTTGTACACCCCTGGCCAAGTGGAAACATGTGATGTGTGAACCACAGGATGGTGCATGGTTTTGCATGGCACTTGGCATTTAGATGTAGCCAAGACTGGAATTGAGTGAGTGAGTGAGTTTTACGCCGCACTCAGCAATAGTCCAACTATATAGTGGCGGTCTGTAAATAATCGAGTCTGGGCCAGACAATCCTGTGATCAACAGCATGAGCATCGCTCTGCGCAATGGGGAACCGGACTGGAGTTGAGTCACATCAGCAATATTTCAACCATATCTTGACTACAAAAGATATCTATTAATGACTTAATTAAAATAAATACCTGCATCTGAAAGACAATTATATCACTAGATACCACAGAATTTCTTTTATTCAAACTAGTATGGAACCATAAAAAATATAGAACTCTAAACAACAATAGAGATCGCCAAGGACTGAAGGTAGGAGCCAAGACTGGACGTATTGGAGTCAGTGTAATGTGTCTAAGTAGGATGTCCTGTTTGTGCTGCTATTGCAGCCCTATAATGATCAATGGTGGTCTCTCCGAACTGTATATTTGACATCAGCAGTTTTGCAGGTATTCGCGGCGAGAAAATGTCTTATATTTTACACAATAAGCTCAACAAAATAAAAGTGATGTTGAAAATCACTAAAATGTCAGTCGTATATCACATTCAAAGTAAAAACTGATCTCTGATTTTAGGAATTCTATATTTAGTCATACTGTTTGATTTTTTTTAATACGCTAAAATCAAGTGGTTAGAAACCGCTCTAAAAAGTTCATGCTAAGTAGGAACATCATCATAAAAGCGTCTAATATCGGAACAATTAACACATTCAAGTAGAATGTCTTTGATAGTATTGGTTCTATGACAAGGGATGCAATGTGGTGGATCGTCTCCTTTCAATATAGGGGAATGTGTATAGTAACTATGTCCTATACGACATCGCGGAATCACAACTTCATCTTGTCGATTTAGTCCAGTAAATGGATTCTGTCCAATATTGGGTTTTATGGAATGAATAAATTCAGTGACCCAATCCTTCTCAACCCTGTTACATTTATCTATCATAACATAGTTAAGTGTGCAAAGGCAACCAGACCAAAACAAGTGTATGCACATTGTACTGCTACCACTAGTCTCGGCATTAAGCTGAGCTAGCGTGAACACAAGGGTAAACATACATACCAAGAACCAACAGGAGAAACAGCTTCATGTTCGTTAGTGAAATGTCTCAACACAATCTGCAGCAAGGATGGAAGTGATGTTCCTGGTCTCAACCTTGACTTTAAATATGTTTTCCACCCTAAAAAATATTGTATATGGGTAGCAGCTGGAATTCAAAATGACAATAATATTTTCAAATAATTATTATACTGTTTACCATAATCACATTCCGATTCAGGTTTCATCATAAAATATATGTTGGTGGGGTTGCCCAATAGGAAAAGCTTTGGTTTGTCATAGCTCATGTGGGTCCTGTTTCAAGGTTCATACAGGGTTTTTTTCCGTTTGCTTTAAACGCGAACATCCCTAATTGCAAACAAGACCCAATCACAAATTCGAAATTGGACAGTTCTACTAAAATACAAATATGTGACATTTTTGAAAAACAAATATCTATAATTTCAAACTGTACAAAATCATAAATTCGAAATTGGACAGTTCTTCTAAAATACATATATGTGATATTTTTGAAAAACAAATATCTAATTGAAGGGGTTAGAATAAGAAGGAGGTTAAATCCAAATTTTTCAATTATTTTTTAGTATTTGAATGAGGGCAAAAAAATGTATGTAAATGTTTGCCAAACAGTCTTTGAAATATCAAACACAAGCAAAATAAATGATTTTATGTGCGTTTCACAAAATTCTAACCCCTTCAATTTCAAACTGTACAAAATCATAAATTCGAAATTGGACAGTTCTTCTAAATTACATATATGTGACATTTTTTAAAAACAAATATCTGCAATTTCAAACTGTACAAAATCATAAATTCGAAATTGGACAATTCTTCTAAACTACATATATGTCACATATTTACAATGCGAATGCCAGATTAAAAACCTAATTTTGAATTGGCCTGGTGACGTTAATCGCGCAACTGATTACATTCTGATAGAACGAGAATGCTAAATTCTTATGAGAGAAAAGTGTTCAAAAAATATTTTAAGGAGCCTGAATGAAACACACAAGTCCGCCCGAGCGCACACACGAGCACAAACGAACGCACACGCACGCACACACACAAACTCTTGTTTGCATAAAACCAACAGAAATGTTTTTCTTCATAGATCCAAGGGACTTCATCCCTGAAATGTACACACTGCATGCTTCTTTGGTTCCAAATGACAGGCACCATGTTTGGACATCATATTTTGAAAGTTCATAAGTGGTGGTCCGATTAATTGAAATAATCGAAGATTGGTCGTAGTGACTAAACGACCAAGCAATCGATCATAATTTCTCATAATCGAACACAATCAATTTTGGAACACTTGTTTTCATTAACAATATTTTTCACATTGTTTGTTTTGTCTGTTACATTTTGTAAGCACTACAAGCTCGTTTCAAGTCATGATTGAATTTATCTTAAAGGCTCCAAGAAATTTATGTTCCTAACATACTAGTCATCCTTTAAAGATGTGAAATTTTGCCAAAAAGCCCCAAAAGAACTACATGTTTTTTTCCTTATTTTTATGTGCATTAACAAATTTCATAAATAACGCTAACCAATTATTTTCGATGATTGATCGGTTGTGATGAACCAATCATCAATTATTAGATTTTAACCAATTCCCAACACTAATATACTTGTCCTTAAATGATGAAATCGTGCTTTTGTCATAATAACTTCAGGTATTTGAGAGACATTTTATGGAGGATTAGTTAATAACTAAGCAGATGCTGTCATACCGATATGTGTGAACAGATGGGAAGTTTATTGGATTGTCCATTATTTCGACGATGCAATTACGAAATTGTATGAGCAGCAATTTTGTAAAATGTATTCATAACTAGTTTATATCTTTTGCATGATTACTTCATTGTCCCTTGCTGGTCACGCATTGTATAGTGATGAGGCGCAGGTTTGCACACAGCGGAGAGGTTGTGGAAGTGGAGGAGCATCTCTGCATCAGTGCACACACTCTGTGGACGACCTATGAGCAACTGTATGAAGGTTTCGTTGTCAAATTTGTGGAGATTTACATGTGGCTTCAGGGGTAGATAATCCAGCGTGTTGTTCCAGAATTTGTCGTAGATGGCATATATTGCTAGGCATTAGCTAGAGACATGTTTTAGCAGGTCCGTGCACAGGGCGTTCCACTATGCTGAGGGACTGCAATCCACATCTGCGCAAGGAAGTGGAAGTCCTTGGCGTGCTGTCTGTTTCCGGCTGGGGTTCAGGGGAGGCATGGTGATACGGTGAATATTGCTGAGTGCGACGTTAAACAACAAACAACCGCATGGTCTAAACAAGAATATTATGGATGGAGAGATTCCGAACAATTCCGCTATATATAAGGAAAGTGTTTCTCGCGTTAAATGAAGACCAGCGTGAAGATTGCTTTATATCCTGGATTCTCTGCCAAGATCTATTTCAGAAGCCTTACCATGGCTGCAGCTAGGTGAATATCATCATCACACACTTTATAAGGTGAGATGAAATTGGGTTTAACGTCGTGCTTGAGAATATTTCGCTCATGTGACGACGTGCATGCGTGTGTATGTGTATGTGCGGCTGCTTGTACTAGCCCAGACTGAAGCTGGGTTTATAGTGCTAGTTCACTGAGATACCATGCCGCAGTGAAGCATGAATACCCCACTCAGACACATTATACTGACTTCGAGCCGACCAGTCCTTGTACTCATTAATGCCGAGCGCCAGGCAGGGACCAACAAGTACCATATTTTAACGTCTTTTGGTATGACGCGGTCGGGGATCGAAGCCGCGACCTTCCGCTCTCCGGGCGGACGCTCTAACCACTGATATCTCAGAGTCACTGGAAATACGTCAACAAATGAACAGTCAGTCAGTAGGAATATATACATGTGCTATATATACACGCATCGACTGTGGAAGTCGGGATTTTGAAATTGTGAATGTCACTGTATAGTTGAGATGCTATCGGTGTAGAGAAATAATTTGCTTTAATTGTTTTGAACTAACTGTGAGCTCATTTTCCATTTACCTATTACGAGTGCTTCTTTAACATTTTAATTTAGAGATTTTGTTTTTATGGTCCGGTTAACAGTCCGAACCGGAAGTGGGGGACGGTGGAGAAACGACATGAGGTAAAAAAATGTTGGGTTGGCGCTGCTGTGGTTTTCAACAAATTAAGCTGTGTAGAGCTAATGTTGCCTAAAGTTTTGTAAGTAATAAGTCCCTGCACTTGTTTAATGAATATACATTCTAATGTTGAGGGGAGTTTTGTTATTAATTGTAACATTATTTGCTCTTTAATTTGTAAAACACATCTTAAAATCCGGAAAATATAACGGGTAAAAGCACGTGGCTTTCAACGCAGCGCAGCACAGCTGTTGAAACCACTTTTCACCCCAGCTGGGGTGAATTTAGTGAATCGTTTGAACTCCGATTTCGCGGGAGAGGGGTTTCACAGCGTTATTTTTCAATTTTTTTACAACAGAACCTAAGGCTATCCTGTTAGCTCTACAACTTATTAATCGCTCAAAGGAAAGCAAACTTCATAATAATTCAGATAGTTTACAGGCAATTAACAATCGTAAAACTGATCATCCCTATTTCGTTTAAAGTTTGTTTTGTCCATTGACATCCTGTGTTGTTGGATAACAAGTCACGTTGGTATTGGGGGAAGTTCTGAGGCAGATTCTCTATCTATATCTGCTCTCGAAAGGTCGATGTCGAGCAGTACTTTTCCATACATTGACCTAAAACCTGCTATTTGGCAAAACGGCAAAACATGTGGCAGCAAAGACGGACCAAGCAAGTAGCTAATACGGTTCATGCCATGCAACCCTTGATTGGCTATCATGCCCTCACTGGTCTAAGTCGTCAAGATGAAGCGGTGATCTGAAGGTGTCGCACTGGACACTCTCATTATACTCACAAGGGAGGTCACGATATGGCTGAAATACTGCCAATGTGACCTTAAATTAACCTCACTCATAAGAAAGGGAGTCCTCCTTCATGTATTCCATGTCCCAGACCTATGAGTGTCAAGCACCTTTTATTAGAATGTGTTGATTTTTCGTTATTCGACAAGCATTTTATAGTGTTTAAACTATTTCTGAACTTTTCAGTGTTGTTTCTAATCATTGAATTTTAGGCACTTTGACGGAAATTCAACATTGGTACAGATATTCAGTCGACGTTGTTTCTCGGATGTCGTGTTATAGACGATAAGGTCTACAGCAACATTACTCCAGAATATTATCATGTCTGTTACCAGGGCAATACTGTCAGGAGGGTCTGGATCATTTCCGTCCGGTTAGATTGTGAAATCTTTCCTGCCGGACAAAAGTTCTGATTTATTGTAAGTTGCTAGCCCACTGACATACCATGCCGCAGTGAAGCATGAATACCCCACTCAGACACATTATACTGACTCCGAGCCGACCAGTCCTTGTTGTACCCATTAATGCCGAGCGCCAGGCAGGGACCAACAAGTACCATATTCTAGCATCTTTTGGTATGACGCGGCCGGGGATCGAACCCACAACCTTCCGCTTTCCGGGCGGACGCTCTAACCACTACACCACGGGCTAGTACAAGCAGCCGCATGTTGGGTGAACACAGCATGATTTGAAACACACAGCATCATATGTGATTCCATATTTCCTCTGCAAAAATCAGAAGCAAAGTTTGATGCAATGACAGACGTCTTAGATTCGGCGATGCTGAAAGTGTGCATCTGTTTTTCTTGAGTGTAATATAGATGTTAGGTTATTTTATCATAGTGAATTAAATGTGGTTCTACACTCGTTTCCGGGGCGGTGGGGTAGCCTAGTAGTTAAAGCGTTGGCTCGTCACGCCGAAGACCCGGGTGTGAAGCCCATTTCTGGTGTCCCCCGCCGTGATGTTGCAGGAATATTGCTAAAAGCGGCGTAAAACCAAACTCAGTCAGTCAGTCAGTATACACTCGTTTCCAGGAGTGTTCTTATAAATTGTCCACTGAAGAGACAGTGTTGACTGATTCTGAACATCCAGGGGTCATATAAACTAATGCGTACAGATATAAAGAGCCAACATGACCCAGAATCCACCAACCATTCTTCTTTCTCTGGTGATGTATACATTTCTGTAAAACCGTTAGTGTCATGGCTGAGATAGTACATTACATTATTGACTGATTCTGCAAACAACATATCACCGCTGTGTTCAGCTTGTTCTGGAAAGTTGCATGAGCACGTCTGTGGAACGTCCAATGTGCATTGTTCTGTATCCTCCGATGTTCGATGATTCCGTGCATCCCCAGGCAACAGAATACACCATCGTACCATTTACAAAAACGACAGAAACAACACGATTTGTACTACTGTAGCGCTTGGTCTTTGGCAATATGGCGGACTCCAGGCACATTTGACGTCACGAGCGGAAAAGTCGCGTGGGTTCCAGCGAAATATGCATAATGGCCAAAGCTGAGATTACAGAAACTGTTTTCGCGATTAAAACATAATTATACATAATTTTTAATTGAAAATTTGGGAATATGTTTCTGGTGACTTTATCTTTCACCCAGCAAATTATTGCAATTCACTCGTATTCTCCTTTAACGTATCACTTTTTGACGTATCCTGTCTTGACGTATTGTCCATAACAAGAACACAGGATACACCAAAGGCATTATCCACGCACTGCCAGTCGTCAATGCCGTCTTCATATAGAACTCCATCTTCATCACGCCCCGGTGACATCTTCCAGGTTACAGAACTTGGTTGAGTTGATTGGCAAGAATGAAATAAGATAAAACACAATATCAGTATGCGAAGCATTGTACTTGACTAAGGTTCTACCATGTACCTTACCAGGTCGTGAAACTGAGGTGTTGTACTATAAATTTGCTCAGGCACTAAATATACTGATATATAAATATCAAAATATATGATATTTATTCATTCAGCTACCAATTTATCAGTATATATATATGTACGGTTGCAGTGATACAGATCAAACATTAGACTGATAAGAGAAGGATAATGAATATTCAGAATTGAAATCTGAAAATATTGGTTTTATAAACGTACTGATTTGAAAGATTTTATTCCGATGTTTTGAGATTAAAAAAAGAACGAATTGTATTTTCCCATTAATTTATTATTTATAGCCGCATTCCATCATACCTTTGTGCCTGACAGTCAAATGATCTATGAGCACCAATCCATTCTGCCATGGTATAAGAACTCATTTCAACCAGGTCATCGGCCGCCTCCGTGGTGTAGTGGTTAGAGCGTCCGCTCGGAGAGCGGAAGGTCGCGGGTTCGATCCCCGACCGCGTCATACCAAAAGACGTTAAAATATGGTACTTGTTGGTCCCTGCATGGCGCTCGGCATTAATGGGTACAACAAGAACTGGTCGGCTCGGAGTCAGTATAATGTGTCTGAGTGGGGTATTCATGCTTCACTGCGGCATGGTATCTCAGTGGGCCAGCACTATAAAACCAGCTTCAGTCTGGGCTAGTACAAAGAGCCACACATACACATACACACGCATGCACGTCGGCATATGAGCGAAATATTCTCAAGCACGACGTAAAACCCAATTTCACCTCCCCTCACCTCATAATGATTCATACACACATGCTCTGTCATCGTATCGTGACAATCACTGGATTGTCTGGTACAGGATCGATTTTTACAAAGAACAACATACAGCTGCAATGCTGCTGAAACAAATCTATGCTCATGATATAGTCACAGTTGTACAGTTGTGCTAAATACTAGATGGTCAAATTGGGCTAATCTGAAGGATAACATATCCGAGACTCTGGCTGGTTTTAGACAGGGCTATTCCACTGTGGATCATATCTGTACTCGTAATGCAATTATTTAGAAGTGCTTATCAATAAAAAGAAAGAGATTACATGTCGCATTTGTTGATTTTGAAAAAGCATTTGATGTTAAATTGTGGTAAAATGTTGGAAGGCTTTAGCGGAATATATAAATCAGTTACAGCTTGTGTAGGATTTAACAAGAACCGTTGCACAAACTATATCGATTGTCCTGTTGGCTTGAAAAAAGTCTGTATAATTAAGTCCAATCCTTTTTTGTTCCTTATTTATCAAAGAATTGTCAAAAGATATTGGTTTGAATGGAAGGTATGGTGTCCAATTATTTCCTTAATATGCTTGAAATAGTATTAGCGATGTTTGATGATGATGTCAGCGCGTTTTGCGGGAGATATTAAAAATGGACTCCTTCCGTGCGTGCGTCCGTGGACATTTGCACATTTCTTCACCAAACTTGGCACATAGATAGGTCTGGTGGTGAACTGGTACATTTTGGTAGTTTTGGAATTCTGAATAAAATATCTTTTGCGTTTCCATGGCAACAAGTTTTACTTCTACTGAAATTGGTGGTAGTGCTGTTATTCGGAGGAGAACTTAAAAACCGTTCAGTGTTTCTTCGCCAAATTTCGTACACAGGTAGGTCTATTGGCATCTTCCAGCAATATCACGTCGAGGGACACCAGAAATGGGCATCACACATTGAACACATTTCGGGTAGCGAACCCTAACATAGGTGCCCCTTGCTAATCTATGAGTGTTATGGTTGTGTAGATAGCGCCGAGTGCATTGCTTTTGTGGCGTAGAGATATTTATCATATTTCAAACATATTTCTAAGTTAGATAGTTTAGTAGTCTAAGGGAGACAACTCTTTATTTAACGTCACTTGTATTCTTATTACCTCCCTTGTGTGAAGGAGTTTTTGGAGGACTTAAATAAAATGGCGTCTAAAGAAGATCGTCTGGTATGTTCTTTCCTGTCATTGCGACACTAATAACCCTTTTGGGGTACGTGGCAGCCATGCCACACTTTGCTGTAATGCTGTTAGGCGGCCGTGCTTTGTACCCATATTGGAAATCAAACCCTGACTAAGACATAGTGGCCGTACACTGGAACCACTGTACTACACAACCACCACTGTGATAATAAAACAATTATAATAAAAATGCAATATCAATAATCATGTAGGTTTTCTATAATTGAAAACGATGTATTTCAATTGGAAAACTGTTCTATGAATCATGTGTGATAAGAATTCGGCAGATAACGTGTCACAACATACACTTCATTGTCCCATGTTTACCAGCGCTACGTGTACATTCGTCTCACTTGTGTACTCGCTTGTGATAACGGGGACGAACAATGATAGGACTTACACACAGGTTACACTGACCATACCTAATACAAGAACCAAGGTGAATGGACCACCTCCGTGGTGTAGTGGTTAGAGCGTCCGCCCGGAGAGCGGAAGATCGCGGGTTCGATCCCCGGCCGCGTCATACCAAAAGACGTTAAAATATGGTACTTGTTGGTCCCTGCCTGGCGCTCGGCATTAATGGGTACAACAAGGACTGGTCGGCTCGGGAGTCAGTATAATGTGTCTGAGTGGGGTATTCATGCTTCACTGCGGCATGCACTATAAAACCAGCTTAAGTCAGGGCTAGTACAAGCAGCCGCACATACACATACACACGCACATACACACACATACACACGCAAGCGAAATATTCTCAAGCACGACGTAAAACCCAATTTCACCTCACCTCCAAGGTGAATGCGATTAAAATGCATAGTTCAGTCTGACGTCACGAAGTCACGAAGTCACACCCACATTGGATACTGTTGCTGTGCCCCACAACACACACACAGAACACTTTTTGAACAGAGAGATTGATGGCCTCACTTCACCCCATCTACTTCCCTTCGCTCTGGAAAATCGGGCATTTTGGGTTAATGATTCTCCAATCTACTTCACTGGAAGTCGATGTATTGTTTTGTCATCGTACTGAAAAGGATAAGTCGAGTTTACAGTTATTCGGGTAAAGACAATCGATATATGGCGAAAATAACACAAGGGAGATACAAAGCGTCTCCAGCAACACGATGTACTTAGTAAATTATCACAAGTTATTGGCAGACCTATTTTTCCTGTGTTCGCAAATTAGTAAAGATTTACGTCCGTCTCAATTTTGAACCAATTTTTAAAAGGTCACCGTCAACTCAATTAATTCACTGTACGAACTATATATTGTGTACAGGTTTCTAATGTTTGTGTAATTATCCTATAATACAAGAATAAATCACAAGGATACTTCCGCGTCCGATTCGTTGAGCAGAAATGTCCTATAGAAGTCACTTCTAAATCCACTTCAGGTGGGAAGTGTTTTGTCGGTTTTATTTACATCTCAATAATTCATAGCAACCATGCTTAAAATACTTTTCCATTCCTTCCGTGTGATGAGATTTTGTAGCATCCTGGTTTTAACAATACATCTGTCACAGTGTAATCAATAAACCAGACACGTTGAAGGGCGAGTAACGCCGTTGTGACCACTCTCCAACGATGTCACGACAGATGTCCAACTAACTGTGGGTGGCAGACTAAAGGTCGATAGCATGGTCGAAGGTCTCCTCTGGCAACCTTTCAACAAACACTCAACATTTATCAAAAGGTAAAGCAAGAATAATGGTCAAGCATAAATATGAAAACTCGGAGACATTTCCACTTAGACTGACTGACTGACTGAGTTTGGTTTTACGCTGCTTTTAGCAATATTCCAGCAACATCACGGCGGGGAACACCAGAAATGGGTTTCACTCATTGTACCCATGTGGGGATTCGAACCCGGGTCTTCGGCGTGACGAACCAACGCTTTAACCACTTGGCTTTAACCACTAGGCTACCCCACCACCCCCCAAACTAGAACACCAAATCGTACTTTTGCCGACAATAAAGTGAATTACTGAGAGCACAAACTAATATTCGGTTTCTTAAATAAGAAGCTAAAACTGTGTCTTCTCGCTTGTGGAATGACCTTTGATAAAATATAAGTCACATGGACACTTGTCCGCAGGTACTCGTAAAATCGTGATGTACAAGGACAAACAGGTTCTGAACACCCGCGGAACATTTCAGTGCCAACTCTTTGATCGGTTGAGCTGTTGGATGTTAAACAATGTCCAGTCATTATCAAAGGAGTAAACATTTAATATATAATATAAAACATATAATATCAACACGTGAAGATGGTATATTCACATAACGTCACAGCTGTGTCATACATTGTCGCTCCACACAGAAATTTTAATACAGGATATAGTTTAGGACCTTTACGATTATTTTCACAAAGACCTTGTTCGCGACCGATATGGAATAAACTGTTTTGATTCTCCACACTAAACGCCACAGCATGACTTGTGAGAAAGGAATGAAAGATGGGTGTCCATTGCCTGAATGTTGATGAGATGCTCCATACTCTATCCGCGCCCAGGTTCTTCATGATTTGTTTATATCCGTGAAGATCCGGGTTAGAATTGGTCTTCTGTAACCCATGCTTGTCATAAGAAGCGACTAAGGGCATCGGGTGGTCAGGTTTGCTGAGTTGGTTGACACATGTCATCGATTTCAAATTTCTTAGAACGATGATAATGCTGTTGATCACTGGATTTTCTGATTAGATTAGATTATGTACAGATTGCCGCCATATATCTGGAATATTGCCGAGTGCGGCGTTAAACAACAAACCAACCAACCATGATTTGTTTATAATTTCCAAGGTTATGTTCACACAATACGCTTCTTTTGAGATAGAAGATAGACCTGTCACAAGACCGCGATGCTGATGTTCACAGGCATTATTCCATGCCACTCAACAAGTGTACCTCAGCCATGGTGCGTCGCCAGTGAGGCGCCGTTAGCCTGTCTTTCCTATTGTTGGCCATACCCGATATATGGTCGATCTTCTGTACTGATAACTGCCCTATCACCTGAGATGACATTTCCATAGGACATGTGTTCACTCTGTCACACTCGTGAGTTATGGACATGGGATACTTCTGGGTGACTGAGTGAGTTTAGTTTTACGCCACTTTCATCAATATTCCAGCAATATCACGGCAGGGGACACCGGAAATGTGCTTCACACATTGTACCCATGTGGGGAATCGAATTGGGGTCTTAAGCGTGACGAGCGGACGCTTTAACCACTAGGCTACCCCACCGCCCCAATATACTTCTGGGAACTGCCATATTCGCCATAACGTTTAAGGGGCGTTAATAATATTAATATCAATAGTCCGACTGTAAAGGTCATGTGTGCTCGAAGGGCTGCATTATAATTATCCCTGGGTGGCGTTATACAAAACAACCTTAGCGCTAAGACTGTCTATGTTAAGTCTATGTTAAGATATGGGAGTTACGATCACCTAGCGCTACAACGGCGTCCAGATCACTGTAGATTTGATCTTTCATTCACATCTCCCTAGAGACGATACAACCCAGTCTGCAAGTGAGGCGCTTGAGGGGAAACAGTTCCATAACCAACATATCCTACCGGGTACCCATTCCCTACCGGTTGAATACATATAATACATGTGCTACGTGCGTTTCAGTATGGAGTGAGGTAGAACCCGACCCCAAGAAGTTTTTAGGAGCCAAGCTGGCGAAAACGGACATTCATCCCAAGTGCCACTGCCGCTGTTGTCGCTTAACTTCGCCTGATTTGTGGCCGATGTACACGCAAAATACGACCGCCCGTTACTTCTCCAATCACACAACGGCTACAGTGATTGCGGCGACCTTCGGTCACAATCATCAGAAGCAACAATAAGAGCGGTCTTTCGATTTTATTCTCATTATATGACAATAATCAATATATCTCATACAGTTGTTCAGTGGACTACGAAAATCTTTAAAATGTTAGATCTTCCACAGTCGTCCATTTGGGTCAGAAAAACAAAGGTTTTCGATTGAAAGAACCGCGGTGATTTCAAAGACAAAGAAAATCAAAACCGGATGTTGCTGATGTCAAGTAACTTGGATGAAGAAATCTAGAGAAAACACATTGATGAAGACATGATGTATAAAGGTCGACCAAAGCATCAGAGTGCGACAGATGCCAAACCCAGTGAACAGAAAATAGGGTAAGTTTGTAAATAGTGTTTTTTAATCTACAAATTCCAACAATCTTATATCATATTCTTTACGAGTTGTTCAACTTGGATTATCTCTTGATACCGGGTGTTTGCTTTCTTTGCCTTATTACCTGGTTTCATGTATTTAATTTTTTTTACGGATAGGAGTGCACAATCATACAACCTTTAGAACCTATAAAAATGGGGAAAAGCGAGTTTCTGTTTAAAAACCCATTTCCACTACAAACAGAACGTAAACATAACTTCCAACTGCTCACATCAACATTAATGTGGTACTAATCTGAGTCTCACTGGATGTATTGAGTACATGCTAGTGTGCCTGGATACATATTCCTCCAGTATTCTGAATTGTGTTTTCTGTAATGGGGGCGGTGGGATTCCCCTCTTCAGTACGATGTGTGAAACCCATTTCTGGTGTCCCCAACTGTGATAGTGCTAGAATATTGCTAAAAGCGGAATAAAATTAAACTCACCTACTCACTGACCTGTACTTTTGTGCAGCGTAGGAATCCATACCGTATTCACCTTGCTTATCATTACTTTGTTTGAGTCTCTCATAATGGCGAGAATACGCGACACTCTCTTTGGAAAGGATTACATTTCTCGCCTTCACGATGAACCACCTTAAACCACAGAAAAACGGAGCTCTGATTAAACAATGACATTATTTGCCCATTTTTATCACATACTATTCATTGTTACGCGTTGATTGCGTTGTTAAAAAAATGAAGTAACCTGGAAATCATTCCGTTACCAAACTCCGTATGAAACTATAAACAAAGAATGTGATAAATTACAAGATATGTACAACTGTACAAATCAATACAAATCCAAACCAGGGAACGTCAATGGCAGTACAAAATAGAGTGTCAGTATAGATTCGGTGGCAGTATTTTGTTGAAGAGAATATAGCAATAGAGACAGTGATTTGCCTGCTGCAACGGTCAAGTATCATTGGTGACAACAGCTCTTCAAACTACTGCAGGTTTTCATTCAGTGTGAAATGAAATTTCGCTGACCAAGGCAACATTTAGTCATCATTTGTATACCTAAAACCGGACCTTTTTCTAACTCTCTGGATCAGACAACACTGGCCTAGAAATGTCTTGTCTGATAGTCTAAATGTAATAAACAACACACCAGTGCCTTCTACAGAATCTCCAAATAAACAATGCAATATAAATACAACACTGTTCAACAATGTCTAAAGCAACTGCCGCGTAAAATCATATACAATCAGTACTTCATCTTCCCCTTATGAAGCCGACCATGGTTAAGTATACTGGCCACATAAAGAAACTGTGCACACAGAAAATATAAAGATAGGCAGACAGCGTCTTTATGCATAAATAAAGGTGTGAACAAAGCAAGTATTGGAGACAATCAAACGCTCATGAAGGTGCCAGGCGACGTGACGTCATTGATGGTGGCCTTTGGACTTGCAATGTGTTACTACACGTGCAGCCTGTGCAGCTGCACACAACATGTGAAACTCAGAAATTGATGTCACTGTCGAAAGCTTGATCTTTGGTCATTCAAACTCATGTCAGACACAGGTTCCAGACGGCAGTGACCACGTCCCAAACCATTCCCCAGGCCTTCATTTTGAAAATTTGGTAGCCTCTATGCGTCGTCGATGCACTGCTGTGCTTCACGCGCATGATGGTCATACCCGTTATTGACTTTGTGACTTCGACGTGTGACCCCCGACTCAATTTTGAACTTCTGACGTCATCGTTACGGATATTGTTCATGTTCTTTTGACATGTTGTTGAGGCCCGATACTTCAGCTTTTTAAGTGTCTACATCATGTTGTCTTTTCTGTTTTGTATTCCAATTCTGAAGGAATTTTCTGTGTGCACAGTTTCTTTATGTGGCTAGTATATCTGAAATATTGTTCAAACAGCGTCTAACCCAAACCATTCAATCCCTTGTTTCAGTCTTACTTGTCTATCAACTGGACACTGCTTACTGTTGTGTTTCTTCCGACGTACGGTTCTGACCAACTTACGATGAAGCTTCTCCAGACCTGCCTCCTGTTTCTAGCTGTCTCCCCTGGGTCAGTTCTCTGTAAAAGGAGACGTGTTCCGTTTATGAGTTGCCCGTCC